GACAACAATTCAGGTTTGCACGAAGATCAGGCCCAGGGACTTACTGTGCAGACAGGTTATATTCACTGGGATGAGTGCTACAGAAGAGGGAAATGAATCCACTTTTTTTCTCTTTGGTGAGGGAACGCACATGGGCATCAGAATGACTCAGAACAGCCTAAGCAACGACATATGCATACGGTTGTGATGCTCTCCTCAGGGTAACTAACAGGCAAGAAGAAATTTAGATGTAAGTGCCCTTGGTAAATGAGAAGGGATGAGCTTTCATTTTGAAGGATAACCGGGGGTGCTGATCTGGAGCAATAACCCAAGAAAAGACAGTCAGATCTCAGATGGAAGGGAAGGATTGAGCCAGTCATTCCCTGCAATAAAAATGTATTTTCCTACTACACATCATACTTCCCTTCCTCGCTCCTCAAAACACATAAATGATAGCACTGGAATGTTTTTCCCAAAAAAGTTAAAGTTTCTTGGTCAGCAAAGCAATTATTTAGAAAAAGGAAAAGAAGGACGTGAATGCATGTACCTCCTTATTCAGTTATTCGTCTAAATGACAATTAAGACAGGCTATCCTTCACTTGAAAGGCAATCTATAAGATGACTGAATGAAGTGAGGAATTATCTCTATGAGCTCCTAGAACAATGCAAGGCTCACACATGTGGCTCTATGCATGTTAGGTGTTTTTTTCTTTTTTTAGAGACCGGGTCTCACTCTGCTTTCCACGCTGGAGTGCAGTGGCTAACCACAGCTCGCTGTAACCTTTAAGTCCTGGGCTCAAGTGGTCTTTAGCTGGGACCTCAGGCATGTACCACAACTCCTGGCTAATTTTTTGCAGAGAGAGGGTCTCAGAGTTGCCCAGGTTGGTCTTGAACTCCTGGGCTCAAACAATCCGCCTGCCTCGGCCTCTGAAAGGGCTGAGACTACAAGTGTGAGCCACTGTGCCCAGCCAGGTATATTTTTAGAAGGCTCCCAATTGCACTGGCCTGGTTTGGTATTACTGTATATATTTACTGATTCTTGACTTCCAACTTTTCTTCCAAATCTAGAAAAAAATAAGCTTGGTTTAAGAATTCTAAAGAAGAAAATACAGGACAGGCATGGTGGCTCACGCCTGTAATCCCAGTAAGGCAGGAGAACAGGGTCTTGAGGTAGGGAACCTAAGGCCCACCCACCCTAACTGGATATCAGAGGCTACTCCCTTTTCAACCCCTCCTTTTTCTGTGTGGCAGCTAGAAAATCGAAGTACCTCTGATTGGTCCCCCCTGCAACCAATCAGGCTGGTCATGGGCCACTAGAGTGAACCAACTGAAAACCTCTAGAGGGCCTATAAACCCCAGAAAATTCTGTAAGCAGTGTTCTGAGTCTCTTGCTTGAGCCAGCTCCCACCCTGAGCCCAGGGACAGACTCACTCTTTAAATGAAAGCCATACTTTCATTTAAAATGAATCTCTGCTCTCACTGCCTTCATTTTTTGTGCATTTTGTCAAATTCTTTCTTCAAAAGACCAAAAACCTGGAAACTACCCTCAACCAGCAACACCATTGCTTTGAGAGGCTGAGGTAGGATTGCTGGAGGCCCAGAGTTCAAGACCAGCCTGGGCAACAAAGTGAAACCCCATCTCTACAAAAAATAAATTAGGTGGGCACAGTGGCATGTGCCTGTAGTCCTAGCTACTAAGGAGGCTGAGGCAGGAGGGTCACTTGAGCCCAGGAGTTTGAGGTTGGTGAGTTATGCCACTGCACTCCAGCGTGGGCAACAGAGCAAGACCCTGTCTCTAAAAAATAAGTAGATTAACAGAACAGTCTTTAAGCTAAAAATTAAAAATTTTTAGAAGAAAACATAAGTTGGTATTTTAAAATCTAAACTATAATCAGACTGATGAGATTCAGTAGTTTACGTAAAGAATACTACATGAGGTCACGTATATTCACCATCACAGTTTTCTCTACTTTTCCTCATGTATTGCTCCTTACTCACTGGTGTAAAGTAGTAAAAACTATGTGTGCATTTATACAGGCACTGAGTCTAATGGCCTCATCACAGCTGTTGGCCATTATTAACTCTTTATGATCATCTTCATATACATACACGTTTAAGTCTGAAGTGGATTCAAGGATCTGTAAATCTTCTGAAAGAAAACGTTTGCTAAATTTTGTGCTAAGAGGGACAGACTCTAAGAGGCCTTTAAACAAAAACACTAAATTCCACTAATGTGAAGGATCAAGCACGTTCTTCTATTGCTCTATATGCTTGGAGAACTTTTTCTAATGTTCACATTTAAAATGAAGAAAATGAAAAATAATCTTCATTATCCAAATGTGAGCAGTGCCCAAGCTTCCAAGGTAGACAGCCCCGCCTCTGCCATGGAGTAGGCCCACACACTGGAGCCGCTGAAGCAACCGTGCTGGTCGGATGGCCAGAGGCAGAGAGCCCCGAACAGGCGGTCAGAACACTAATGAGGAGGCAGGGACAACCTGTCCTGTACAGAAAATAATTTGAGATTAATACGTTCCACATCTCCCACTTGGAATCCAGCAGGAAGTTAAACCGAACGACACATGAGTCTCTGATTATGAAATACGAATACAGTTGACTGGTTTTTAATATTTATTTATCTGAAAGCTTCTAACTAATGTTTCTAACTAGTGACATACTTCAGGCCAAGAATTCTATTTGCCTAGATCACGATGTCTAAACACTGCACACTTGAGCAATTCTGGATCCAAATAACTAGAACTGTATGGTCTTGGGCCCTGCAGTACGGCTCTGCTTCAGTGGCTCCCAGCCATGAAAGGCACTAGGGTTACCAGAGGAATTTTAAAAATACCACTGGGGGTTGGGGATTCCCGCCAGCCGTGCTAAAGGCTACCAGGTGACTATAATGTGTAGCTAGGGTTTGGAACCAGCGGGTCAGGCATCAATCCTGGCAGCACCATGGAGGCAGACTGTTCCCCAGGCCAGATCTCTCAGCAGCTCGACAGCACTTTAACGAAATCATGCACTCGATTAAGATAAAGGGATCACTATTTCTTCATGCTCTAAACAGGAAGATAAATGAGCTGCCCAAGAGGTGCTCAGCCAAAACCTGGGAATGGCTTTTAGAGGGCACAGTTCCCACAGTCAACAGGGAGAGCTGGAAGTTTCCCTTTCTAGAGCCACAAGCAACACTTCTAGATTTGCACTGGGGTGTGAACTGGGCTGAGCTCTCTGGGAGATCTTCCAGGTTCTAACATTTCCACATAGTAGGTAAGCATTTCAGAAGCAAACACCTGTCCCAACTCCAGCTAATGAAGAATGTCTGCACTGGATAAGACTACAGCAGCTGGGAGAGTTCCCAGGACAGGGAGGTATATGAGTGTGTCCCTTCAGTTTTCTCAGGTGCATCATATGAAGGTATCTTTTTCCTAACCAGGCCCATCACAATTTTCTCCATAATGTTTTGTACATCTACACACACACACACACACACACACGCGCGCACGCACACACAACCCATCTCATACAAAAAGTTTAAAGAAGTTTCTGGCATGAAAATATGCCCTCTTCTAGCTGAGACAGCAGCACTCATCAGCACTGGATTCCATCCCACTCCACTTGCTTGCTGCAAACGTCGTGGCAACACACACCCTCCAAGCTGCTGTGAGGAGGTTCTGAAGAAAGCAGTTACCCTTTACTATTTGGTAAAGTTGTGTTATATTTTTAACCTAGTGGACTAATCAGTTGAATCTTGGACATGACAGCAGGCTTCATGATCTTTTTTTCCTTTGTTATTCTTAGCTCAACTTCCACAGCTGAGTAAGAAGGTTTTCATGTACTTATAAGAGTGTTAAAATTTTTATTCCTTCTCAGCAGGAGACAGTTGGCCCTTCTTGTGACTTTGTCTCTGATTCTTGGGCAAGTTGGCTTGGGAATGCTACTAGGCAAATACTCACTAATCTTTCATCATCTTGAAAAAGCAACAAATAGAGCAAGAGCTCAATGATTCAAAATAAAAAGAAAGAGACTGTCTAAAATAGCAGCATGTTCAAGTAACAGACAATCTTAAATAATGTAGCAACTTTCTTTTGCTATGTCCATTCTGTATCCAAAAGAATCTTCCACAATTATAATAAAAAAATGACATGGTCAACATTTTGCAATGTGCCATTATCAGCCTCTATTACTCAATGAGATGCTAACCATATATTAGTAATGTAATGAGGTATTGTATGATCATGTGTTAAAATATGGAAATGATATTAGCATAAAAGATCCTACTGTGAGAGTAAAATTTGTACAGAGCAGTTCTTTCAATAATTCAGAATATGAATTAACATTTCAATTAATGTAAGATCTTCACTTTTAAGGCAAAACCTAATGGGCCAGGTGGTAAATGCCAGTTTTAAGAATAAACAAAAATGAGACTGGGCATGGTATCTCACGCCTATAATCCCATCACTTTGGGAAGCAGAGGCAGGTGGACCACATGAGCTCAGGAGTTCAAGAACAGCCTGGCCAACATGGCAAAACCCCACCTCTACAAAAAAATACCAAAATTAATTGGGCGTGGTGGTGCACACCTGTGGTCCCAGCTACTCAGGAGGCTGAGGTAGGAGACTCACTTCACCCCAGAGGTAGAGGCTGCAGTGAGTCAAGATCGCACCATTGCACTCCAGTCTAGGCGACAGGGCAAGACCCTGTCTTAAAAAAGGTGGGGAGGAAATGAGGGGGCTGGCCCTACATGCTACATTATCCTAAAAGCACGTATCATTTTTAATGACTGCCTCATCTTTTTTTCAAACTAGAAAGACCAATGAAGGGAAACAACACATGCCAATGCCCATGTGCAGAATGAGAAGCAAAGTCCAGACAGGTCACACTGGTAGAAGGCGCAAAGCCTATAGCGAATCAAAGCGAAGACCTGTGAGACAACTCAGCTGGGCTTAAATCGAGGGCCTATCAACCACCAAGCCAACAGCAGGGATGGCCCGCACCAGGTCAGGCCGCCTCCCCACACTCACCTTTCTCTTTTTGGCCAACTTGCTCGAGCTGTCTGAGCTCCTCTTCTCAGAACTGTGTTTCTTCCCTGTGGGTGGCTGTTTATCGTCCGCTTTCCTCTGGCGGCTCCCCTTCCCAGGAGGCTGGGGTATCCGAGAGAGCAGGTCCAGGGTGATCTTCACCATCAAGCTTTGGGGGAGAGGAGTGTCCCTGAGCGGTGAGAGCAGCTTGGTGTCTCTCAAAGGCAATGGGAGTCTGTCTTTGCGGCTGTCCTCCTGGACCACCACGGCTTGGCGGCAGCCACTAGTCCTGCTGCCTCCACCACTCTGAGACGGGCCCTGGCTCTGAGTCAGGGGAACAAGAGCAAAGTGCTCAGGGCTCCTGTCCTCCACATTGTCCTTCGTGGGTTCTGGGCCTGAGGGCGCCTTAGAGGGGGTGGGGAGGGAGCTCTTGTGCTTCTTCTTCTCACTGGAGGGGGGCACTGCTGGCTTGGGCTCTCTGCTTGCAGCGGCCCGGGGCCGTCCTTTCGTCTTCACCCTGGGCTTGTCTTTGGAAGTCTGGTCTCTGGAGCCGTAGGGAAGAAGTCCTGGCTCCCTTTCCACCTGCAGGCTGGCCCGCGAATCCGCCCGGGCAGAGGCCTTGACAGGTTTTTTGGGTTGTTTGGTTCCAACGGTTTGCCTCTGCGGGGGCTCCTGCTGTGCCGGGGATTTCTGACAGCTCCTCTTTCCAGGATGGGGGGCTTCAGGAGGGGCCCGGGGGGCTTTGCTGGAGCTTTTCGGGGGAGGATCTTTGGATTCAGAACGCTCCTGACTCGCAGCACCCTCGCTGCTGCCCTTACTCTCCGGGTGCTGCTGAGGGGGCTCTGTGCTCCCGGGGCCCTCGGGCAGCACGGCGGGTTGGCTGACTTTGGTCAGCCAGTTGTCCAGCTGCCATTTGTTTGTTGCTGGAGGCTCAGGCTAAAAATCAGGAAAGAAAGGAAAAGTGTTAACTCACCGATGATGACAAATTATTCTTTTGGGCTTGTCACCCAATTATACAGGACTGTCACTCCAAACCTAAGAATTTTGATACCATCCTCCTCCTCAGATTAGAAGTCAAGCTCTGTAACAACTCTTAAAGCAACCTTCACTTTTTTGTGGGATTTGGAAATGTGGTAACAGCAAATATTAACTAACAGGCCACTGCTAACTGCTGAGAAATCTTTGTAACATATTCTATGGTAATTATAGCATAATTTAAACAGAATTGACACATTTTGGTTTGTAAACTACTCTATTAAGGAATAATAGGAAATGAGCAAAAAATCATTTTATCAAATATTTGCAGAAGGCAGTTAAGGAATAAACTAAGTTTTGGTGGGGTCACACTTTATCCTTTTTCAGACATACTTTTCAAATGAAGATGACTTTTATTCAAGATGAGATCATTTCTCTTTTTTATGTGTGACAGGGTCTTACTCTGCTGCCCAGGCTGGAGTGCAGTGGCACGATCACAGCTCACAGCAGCCTCAAACTCCTGGCCTCAAGTGATCCTCCTGCCTCAGTCTTCCAAAGCACTAGAATAACAGGCCCATTTCTCTCACTTATTTAAAAGCATTATGCAGTAAACATTTATACGTTGACAAAGTTATCATATCCCATGTAGTATATACTGATTTGCAATTTTAAACCTGGATAAAAAGTCAACTGGGTCACATTAACCAAGCATTAGTCCCATGTGAACTCTTTAAAAGTCAAACATTGGGCTGGGCGCGGTGGCTCACGCCTGCAATCCCACCACTTTGGGAGGCCGAGGCAGGTGGATCACGAGGTCAAGAGATTGAGACCAGCCTGGCCAAAAGAGCAAGACTCTGTCTCAAACAAACAAAAGAGCAAGACTCTGTCTCAAACAAACAAACAAACAACTAAAAAAAAAAAACCAGAGGTTCCTGGCTTGTTATCTTAACTGTTAGTTCAAACTTTGTTGCTAAATTAACTGATGCTGCATTCTACCACATCTCTCCAACTCAGCTATTAGACCCTATTAAAAGAATGACAGAGGGCCGGGCGTGGTGGCTCACGCCTGTAATCCAAGCACTTTGGAGGCCAAGGCGGGCGGATCACCTGAGGTCGGGAGTTCAAGACCAGCCTGACCAACATGGTGAAACCCCGTCTTAAAAAAAAAAAAAAAGAATGACGGACTCCTATGCCTCCAAGTTCCACTACTGTATCTTGCATATAGTGGGTGCATGAGATATCTGAGTATTCCTCTAGGTAGATTACTATACCCATGAATTTCGTATCATACAGAAAAATATTAGTGTCTAACAGTGATAGTTGTTACATTTATTTTAAAGACAGTACATCACTGTCCTTATGAAAAACACTGTTTTAAAGATCCACTCTGAGAGATGGTTTGTAAGAATAAGTCATATATACAATGTATCAGAGAATTAATTGAAAGACATCCCACTTCAGATTTTTTTGATTAGATTATAGATAAGGAGACGACTCCAGTAGGTGGAAAAGTGTTAAGGGGAAGAAAGACTGCTGATAATTTTCCTTATTGGAACATCCCAAATACTTTAACCCCACAAAAACATGAAAATCTAATGATGCAAAATATGTGGCTATGACATAAAGGTTTTTTTGGTCAGGAAAAGGCTGGGTAATAAAATGATCGGGTAGATAGTTTGGGTTTAGTGTGACTTTAACTATGAAACTTAAAAAACCAGGAACATTCTGTGGACAGAAAGATGACTGCATAATTCCTTTTTTTTCTGTTTACCCCATACTGCTCCTTATGATAACACTGTCTTCTTTCCCCTATGTCAACTGTATATCCATGCCGTCATCTGAATGTAAGGGCAGAGAGGGAGGGAAGAGGAAACTACTATTATGTGCCAGGCATTTTGTCACATGTAATCTAAATCTGTATTCAGTATTCTAAGAAGGCAGAATAGTTGTTAAGGGTAGAGAAAAGATTAGCACACAATACCCACTTGTCAAACATGATTTCCTGCAGAGACTTCAGGGTGTGGTTACATAAGCAGTTAACTGATGGGACAAGGTAGTGAGATACATCACTTGTCAATCACGTCAGGCAAGAAGGCTTCACACCCTTCCTCAGGAAAGGTATGGACATATCTCACGCACTGGCTATGTTTACAACTGCACTCCAGTCCCTGACATGCTCTTTCTTAATAGAAGACTATTCATGTGTGAACCCAAAAGGGAAGTCATTCCTGGTATAAATAACATCCAGTTTTCCCCTCAACCCCGAAAACAGGACAGTACTGAGATACATTTAATAGTCCCTGAAGGAATGTCCTGGTTACAGAAATAAAGTATTTTCTTATACTACAGTCCTAAAAATGTTCAGATGGAAGAAGGCCCATGTCCCAATTTGAGGGTAAAATTGAATAGTTGTGCCAGACAAGGGGTACAGGTAGGGGCAATCCTATATACCCAATATTAAGTTGTGAAATTAATACAATTCCTTTGAGATATTATTTGGTGCTGAGATGGGAAAAATGTTTTCAAAAGCGATTGATTAAAAATATTTTTAGGCTGGGTGTGGTGGTTCATGCCTGTAATCCCAGTACTTTGGGAGTCCAGGAGGCCGAGGTGGACAGATCACTTGAGGTCAGGAGCTCGAGACCAGCCTGGCCAACATGGTGAAACCCCGTCTCTACTAAAAATATACAAATTAGCTGGACATGGTGGCACATGCCTGTAGTCCCAGCTACTCAGGAGGCTGAGGCAGGAGAATCGCTTGAACCCAGGAGGCAGAAGTTGCATTGAGCTGACATCATGCCACTGCACTCCAGCCTGGGTTGACAGAATGATACTGTGTCTCAATAAAAATAAATAAATAAAAATGAAAATAAAACGTCTTTTAAAATAAAGTTTAGGTGGATAAAAGTCCCAAGGTTTCAGACTATCAAATATCCTGGGAATATTTTATTTTATCTTTGTTTAGAGGATCAAGGTTTGAACTTTTATTCCTTCCTCTGCCTCTCCTCACCCCACCCCCAATCTGTCCTCCCAGTGCTGGTACAACCCAAATACTGCAAATTAGAAATAATTTTAAAAAGGAATATAATTATTTATTAGATGTTTTACTAAACTGGCAAAAGCTAGGGTATTTTAGAATGAATTATGATTCTGAATTAAGTGTTGAGCTCCAAAATATCTCATGTACCCATAAACATTTATACCTACACCTACTATGTACCCACAAAAATGAAAAGAAGACATAAAGAATGAGAAAGTTAAGAGTTAAAATTCCATAATCAGCTGTATCTACAGTGGGTGCATGAGATATCTACAGCTGATTATGGCATATTAAAGAAAAATAATTCTCATTAATGTCTGTATGTACAGCTAATTATGGAATTCGTGTTACTTCAAAATAACAGCAGAGATTTATAATAATGCAGGTATTTATTGTAAAAGAAAAGAGATATAGTTAAATAGGAAAAATTTAAAATCTAAACAAAGATAAAATATTCCCAGGAGGATGGGCCTCAGTATATAGAACACATACTGTTCCCAAGCCTGGAACTGCAATACATAAAAATACTAGCCTTTTTAGTAAGATATTTTTAAAAGATAAGGCAGGATGGGACCATTTATTTTACACCTAAGAGGTTTCATTCTATTCTAGTAACTTCTCGAGGAATAAAATATATATATCTATGTCTCATTACCACAAACATGAGATTTTCTTTCAAGTTTCAATTATTCAGCCAAATCCGTACCATTTCCATTTTATTTGAATTAAATGTTGCTTAATTATCTTTTCTATGTCAGTAATCTAACTAGCATGAAGGTATTTTTTTTTTTTTTTTTTTTTTTTTTGAGACGGAGTTTCGCTCTTGTTACCCAGGCTGGAGTGCAATGGCGCGATCTCGGCTCACCGCAACCTCCGCCTCCTGGGATCAGGCAATTCTCCTGCCTCAGCCTCCTGAGTAGCTGGGATTACAGGCACGTGCCACCATGCCCAGCTAATTTTTTGTATTTTTAGTAGAGACGGGGTTTCACCATGTTGACCAGGATGGTCTCGATCTCTCGACCTCGTGATCCACCCGCCTCGGCCTCCCAAAGTGCTGGGATTACAAGCTTGAGCCACCGCGCCCGGCCTTAGCACGAAGATTTTTCTTACAGAATAAGGTGAAACATAAAGCAAAGATCTTATAAGCATTAACAGTGAACATCACACAATTTATCTGCACAGCAGAGTCGGCATCCTTTTCCCTGAGGCATAGAAAAACTATTTTAATAGCCATTAGTATCATATAAGGAAGCAAAGAGCCCCAGAAACACACAGTGTAGTTTCTAGACTCTAAAAGGCACTTCAAGTGCAGTTAATTCTGATGCACGTCTGTTCATTCCAAAACATACCAAGCTCTTATTTTCTGTGCCAGACACAGATTCACAGCTAACAGAAAATGACAGCCAGTTATTTTCTCAGCCTCCCTCACCCTCAGACAAGACCCTGCAGTCTCCCTACATCAGCTCCAGATGTATTCAGTTAATGCCCAATTGGACCTGCTTTGCTTTCTAAACAGAGACAAATACAGAAAGCTTTTTAATGCTTTCCTAAGTAGAAAGCTTCATTTCCTGGCATTCCCATATTAAATATCTGGAATAATTTTCTTGATATGGGCTGGTCTCACTCACCAAAAAGAAAAGAATGCCTTCCCTTTTCATTAATTTATTTCCCCGGCATAATTTTTACACTACTACCTAAATTTTGAGGTTATCTGGCAACCCTGTTAGATGTTACTAACAATTTCTTGTGCCCAACAAGCCAGTAAATAGCATAAACCATCTAGATATATTTAGTGTTTAAGATTTTCAGTGGTGACAAGCAAACACCGTTGTCTCTGTTTGACATGGGGCAGAAGGGAGTGAAAAACAGAACCCTGGCAAAATCACTTTGCCATCAACTTAATGCATGGCTTTTAGTGATTCGAAAATAGAACTCCTGATGACTTATTTCTAGTTCACATTCCTGCCCTTTGCTAAATCAGGTGGTCTCCTTTTGCTTTCCTTAATTCATGCATTTCTGAAATTTCAAAAAGAATTCTCATTAATATTAAAACAGCAGCCTACAGAAACCAAGTTTTCTCTTTAAGAAGGGAAAAGAAAATGGTGTGCAAACACTCTTAATGAGTTGATCTTCAAAACAACACTAGCAGTGACAGAGAAGGACCTATCATTTTGAACAGGGGAGAGAAGACCTCTCTTCCTAACTCTCCTTTATTAAATATTTGGTAAGAAACAAACAAATAGAAACAGATGGCTCTATACAGCGTAGAAGCAGGAAAGCATTGCCCCATGGGACAGCATGGCTCAGTCTCATGGTCAGTCCTGACTCACAACACAGACTCTAGCTTCAAAGGACAGAATGCTGCCATCTGAGGTGGCCATCTCAAGGGGGACACGGTACCTCCGGAGCCGGGGTTTCTAGGGGCTCATTTTCTTCGCTGTCACTTGAACTGCTCTCGCTCTCCGAATCTGAGGAGCTGTCTGAGTCACTGGTGCTTTCTGACTCTGCACTGCTGGAATGTGCTGATGCCACTGGTTCTGGAAGGGACTGTGGAGCACTGCAAAGCAACCAAAAGATAAAATTAGAAGGCACCATGCAAGATGGACTTCTCTCTTTCTTCCCTGCCCATTTTTCTGCTACTTGAAAGGAAGGGCCTCTGTATTAGTTTTACTGCTAAACTATCACATCATCCAGTTGAGAGAGGCCCAAAGTAGTTTAATAGAACAGCAAAAACCTCTGAAAACAGTTTACCAGATGAATGACAGAGAAGCCTGTGAAATTTTACTCCTGAAGAGTATTTCAAGTGACCCCAAATTTAAGTTAGATGTCGGGTGCTTCATATGAAGGCTTGGTAAACCATAGCCTAGGCTGCCTGCCTGCTTTTCTAAATAATTTCTTATTGGAACACACGCGTGCCCATTTTTTTAATGTACTGTGTCTGCGTTTATGCTGCAATGGCAAATTTGAACAGTTGCAATAGAGACATATATGGCCCACAAAGCCTAAAAATTTACTATCTGATCCTTTAAGTTTGCTGGTCTCTGCTACACATAACCAAATAAAATTAATTTCTAAAAGAAAAGCCAGTAAGTTAAAATCTCCCTATATTTTCTACACAAGAACTGGGTGGCAGCCAAAGACCATTAAATGTAAATGGTGTTCCTTTGCAAGGTGAACTCAAAAGTAACCAAGTAACCCTTTCACACTTCCTAGTGGAACTACAAAATGGACCATTCTTTATAAGTGGCTTAGAGATCATCCTCAAATATCAGCCAAAGTAGAGATTAGCTACTCCAAATTTTAAGAATGGGGCAATAAATCTAAGTTAGTGAGAAAACACATTGATCACACTGCTGGACACATAAAGAATTTTGAAGCATATATAATCTTAAAAGTCTCACCCTAGATGATATTAATTAAAGCAATACGTCATTAACTATAATGTGGACAGAGTCCAAATCTACCTAAAATATTTTCAAAATAGATTAGTAAATGACACATACTAGAATAAAATTATTAAACAATAACAAAATCACTAGTTGAGGTCATTTTAAAACACACACGATACTACTATGTAATTTGCTCACAGAAATGCTATACCCAGTTTGTAGCCCTGTCTGTACCAGTAGCTGAAGAGCGTAAGCCAGTTATGAGCAAAAGGGGCTGCGCTCTCAACGTTACTCCTGCCTTGAATGTGTACTGCTGCTTGGTCTTTTCTTTCTCCTTTTCCTTCACTTTTAGAAGTTAGGCTACCTTGTCATGTTAAGAGTCATCATAACCCACCGGAAATTACTGAACAAAATAAGATACAATTAAACAAGCAAACTTTATGAATCTGTAAGAGCGCACATAATTACATGGGCTTCCTCCACATTCACGGTAACATCCCCTGCATAATGGACAAGATTTTATTGCTGATCTCGACTCTGAGTGGATGAGCACAGCTCAAGGGAGTAAAATAATGTAACTTTGTCCATGAAAGGCAGGTATTTGGCATATTACCAGAGGAAAATATAAAAGTAGTTCAAATAGTTTATATTTTCAAAAAATTAAATCATCACATTTCCTAAAGTATGGCTGGCTTGTTCCATTTCCCATCACACTAAAATGCACTGCTGATCATTTTGAAAAGCAGCTGAAACAATATGAAAATTCATATATCTAAGAAAACAGGCATAGTGGAAAAGAAGTTCTGGAAATAACTGAGCTTTATTGAAAACAGCAAATCTGTTACCTCCATTAAAACACTGGGCTCATCAGTTTAACTTTTCAAATACTGATTACCTAATACTGATGATAAATTGTATTTTAAGCTTGTGTGTAAACTACTTTTTTTTTTTTTTTTTTCTGAGATGGAGTGTTACTCTGTCACCTAGGCTGGAGTGCAATGGCATGATCTTGGCTCACGGCAACCTCCATCTCCCAGGTTCAAGCAATTCTTCTGCCTCAGCCTCCCAAGTAGCTGGGACTACAGGCATGCACTACCACACCCAGATCATTTTTGCATTTTTAGTAGAGACAGGGTTTCACCATGTTGACCAGGTTGGTCTTGAACTCCTGACCTCAAGTGATTCACCCACCTGGGCTTCCCAAAGTGCTGGAAATACGGGCATGAACTAGCATGCCTGTAAACACTTAAAAATCTTTAACATCTATGCTGACAATGTAGATGAGTGTTGCAATCTTGCTTTTATAGGGTTGACAACCTCCCTATGACTGATTTAAGCTTCCAAAGCATTAAAGAGGTACTTTCCTTTTACTGTGATCCTTCAGCTCCTTCCCATGAAAAAACTGTGAAAGTACTAAATAAAGCTTTATTTTTCCCATTTGGTAAAAAATCGCAAACATTCTGTACAGATGGGGAGAAATCCATACGGTACCTTGGAGGTGCAGATGAGGAGGGAGGCTTCTCTGGGGTCTAGGCATTCACAATAAGGGGAAGAAGGACCAGGAAAAGAACAAAAAACAGGTTAGAACAAGCAGCTCAGATATGTTAGGTGGATTTTAAAGGCCTCCTGGTACTACAGAGTACACAACACTTACTTGTTCACTGTCACTGTCCTCACTGTCACTGAGCTGAAGGTCGTCTTCGAGCATGCTGGAACAGGCAGGGACACAGAGAAGAAAAGAATGTAAAATGATTTCTAACAACTTTTCTAGCATATAAATAGAAAATATGCCTAATTAAACAAAAGAGACAGAGGATATGTGTAAGTTCTCTTTATTTATTAAATGCTGTATTTTCCTAGAAATGTAAATTTTACAATTATACAATTACAATGTACAACATGCAATTATACAATTATAACACAGAAACCAACTACGTGCAAACCTCTTACCATCTCAAAACAGATTCTTTCACATGTTACAAACATTGAAACAGAACTACCACATGACAAAGATTCATTGCAAGCCCTGAGACTAAAGTCCCTAGCTCCCAATCAGTGAGGTCAGGGTCCATGAAAACAGAACAAATGGCAGGGGTGGAGGGGAGAAATACATAATACACTCAATTACTTTCTTCCATAAGCTCTAACTGAACTAGAGTAATTAGCCAATAAATGAATTAAAAATGGATGAATATTTGTAAAGCACTCAGAACGGTGCCAAGCTCATAAAAAGTGCAACATTAGAATTAAACGCACAGTAGACGTTTGATGCTATTAAGGCAACTATCACCCAACAGTGCAGTTACTTTACGTTTCTGTCCAAAGGACATTATTAATAGTGAGCTCTATTTTTGACACTTAATGAATTATTCTCTTTTGCCTATGTAAACACTGACCAATGAGAAAAACAGTAATACAAACGAGATTGTCTACAAATTATGTTTAACCTTATTGCTATTGTTTCAGTGGGAAAAAAAAAATCAGTTCATTTCCTCAAACTTATCTGTGGGCATTCTGGCTTATGGTGAACCTAAAGAGTAAAAAGCAAGTATTTTCCAATCTATACATGTGTTGTCAAATTTTAAGAACTCCCCCGACCCCCACGCTTGACCTTATTCCATGGATATACCCAAATATCACAGGAAAGAATCAGTAATTGCTTCCTCTCTCCCCTTTCCCCCAAATTTTATGAGCATGGCTATTTGAGGAAATGTTCTAAGTAAAACTGAAAAGAAAAAATAATCTGCTGGAGTGTTATCAATGCTCCAAAAAGCGAATTATTAGAGGTTAAAATCCTTTAGTATTTCCAAAAATACCTATTCAAAAATCTAACGATTTTTACTGCAAAGCCACTATCTACCACTGAAGAATCGGGCACGGTTACTTTGGAAATCCTGGTAAAAATCACTATGTTTTCTAATGAAAATGAATAAAACTTGGCTCTTTCGTAAATGACCGCCTACGTGAGGTGGTAATTCTGCCAAGAAACAACTTTCATAAATGTACTAAAAACATACTGGGATAAGTTTCTAAATAAAATGAAAACTGTTAGCAACTTGTAAATGTAGATCTTGCTCAATATTTATCTAACAGAAGCTAAATTCACATTTTTATTTCTTTTTGAGACAGGGTGTTTCACTCTGTTACCCAGGTGTGATCTTGGCTCACTGCAGCCTCTTGGCTCACTGCAACATCTGCCTCCTGGGCTCAAGCAACCCTCCTGCCTCAGCCTCCTGAACACTTGGGACTACAGGTGCATGCCACCACACCCAGGTAATTTTTGTGTTTTTGTAGAGATGAGGTCTTACTATGCTGTCCAGGCTGATCTAGGACTCCTGTGCTCAAGTCTGTCCACCTCAGCTTCCCAAACTGCTGGGATTACAGGCGTGAGCCGCCGTGTATGGCTAAATTCATATTTTTTTTCGAGGCTAGAAAATATAGCTTTCAGTCACAGGACTTCGCAGTTAGCAACATAATGGTATACAAGAAAAAGTCACTCAACAGGTTTATTGCTAAGTGGTAGCTTGGCTGGGATACACAAAAGCAAAAGATAAAAGACATGTCTTTGGAATAAATGTAAAGTATAATACAACCAGAAAAAAAAATCTGGCAAGGTGTATTCAATATTAGCCACCAACCACAACAAAACAAAAAAGGGACCTCTTTCTTAGTTACTAAGTTTGTTTTGAATAAACTGATTTGCCTTAATTCCTGTAACATCAATGATCATGTAATCCAACCACACTTCCTGTTTTGAGCACAGGATTAAAAATTCTGTAACTTTTTCTTCTAACTACTGAACATCTAACTTCCATGAATGTGCTCTCCTAAAGTACATCAGAAAGTTAGAGAAAGTTCTGACTTTTGGCTCTACTCCCTCCTCAAGATGAACAGGTACCATGAATTCAAGATAAACAGGTACCATGAATATGTTGTCACAGATTCTAAAAATTTTCCCTTCAGACAATTATGTAGACTACATGAAATGGGCCTGCAGGTAAAAAATCTATTCTGAACCTAAAGAGTAGGACTGTGATCTCTGAAAGAAGATTGCAAAAGTTATCTCCAAAGAAACACTCAGAAATCATAAACCAGTATGGTTAAACAAAACCTCTCCTCCCTCATTTGGGATGCACTGAGATTTACACATGAAGTATTTTACTTAATAAAAATTTGTGAGTATAATTTATTTGATAAAGAATGAACGTATCTCACATGAGAATCAGCAGACATGTCTATCACTAGTGTCTGCAGGCACAGCCAAGAGTAAGCACAGAATTCCAGAAAGCATGATTTACTGTGTCACCAGAGGTGGGTATCTCAACATAAACTAGCATGCTATTACAGGAGGAAAAAATTGCAGCAAGAGAAACATTTTTTTCTAAAGTTTCTGATTTAAAAAAAATGTATGACATCTACCTTTTTAAAAAGTTACAAGTCATAACTAAGTTATGCTAATATAGATTATTAATCATGAATGCCATTATGATTTTTTTTAAAAAACAGTAAATCTATGCAGCTGAAAAAAGAGCTTGCTTGATGACAGGTGAAGGGTTTTTAGGCATAAAGACAAATTTTAAAGGAATTTAAATTTCCTTTAAATTTAAGAGGCTAATGTCCTCTGCCTGTCCCACAAACTGTATTTGCAGCCAAGCATACACTCTATGTGCAGAACTAGTCCTTGAACACGAAGGAGGAGGAAATGGACTACAGCACACCTGGGTGAGCACCTCTGTCCCCACAAGAGAATCCAAATCTCTTAGACCCAGTCTCAGTCATAGCAATAAAGCCTAGGTCAAGAGAACAGAAAGCTCAATGGATATGCTTTTTCTTTCTCACCTATAAGCTTTTTTGAATTAGGATCAAGTTATTTTTACCTTTATATTCTGTCTAGAAACTGGTAGGTACTTAAAAAAAAAAAAAAAAAAAAAAAAAAAGGCAGGCTGAATGAATAAGACCCCTCTGTTAAATAAGTAATAGTACCATGCAGGTGTGCTCACTATATGATCAAAACAGATGCTGCCTATCATTACAATCCTGTGTGGTGGCTTTGATCATCCCTTCATATTCTAAGAATGACAGAAACGGCCACCTGACATGCCCAAGATCATGAAGCTGTGCACGCTGGAGCTAGGATGCAATCTATCTCATCTGATACAAGATCCCCTCTTTCTGGCCAATATTTGACACAATGGTTAGAAAACCTAACTGATGGAATTAATCTAAGTTCCAGAACCCACCAAGAGAAAGACCTTGATTTAAAATAAAACAACTTTTCTATTGGAATAAATTCAATATGCTATGTTTCCCTTACAAAAATAAATTAACTTTAAATCTTACATACTTTAACTGGTCAAATAACTAATTTCATTTTCAAACTCCAAGGCAAAACATACGGAACCGTATTACCTATTTTGATACAAAGTTCAAAAGAAGACAAACTGCTCAGATAAAGCAACTCTTTAAACTACATATAGGTTTCATCACATTTTACATTTGGTTAGGTAAACTTTTTGCTTACAGGTAACAAACAATTTTCAAAACCCTTTGTACAAATGCATTTTTCAGGCAGCTGTTCTAGCAAAGCTTAAGGAGCCACATACAGGTCCTGGCAGGCACACTGCATGAGTCAGCCCAGCTGTTACAGCGTGAAGACATAAAGACAAGTTGCCATTTCTTTTCCATTTCTTAGGACTGGGCTTGCCCAAAGCTTTCACTGCCAATATTTGTAACATCCCAGTTCAGACCCAAAAAGTATTTACATAACCTTATTTCTTGGCTTAATATTTCTTATGATCATTTTGAGAAAGAGCAAGTGAAGTCAAGCTCACAGTAGTTATTTAAAATTAGTAGGTCACAACCATGGTATCAGGTGTGCTAAAAATAATAAGAAAAGTAACACTTTTCAAGAACCATTAACAAGTATGTGAGAATGTGTAAACTTAAGAGTCTCACAAATGTAAAACTGATCCAGAGACAGGATGGGCAATGGCGCATAAGGCAGGAGACAGAGGCTGAGCTCCAGGGCACATTCAGAATCTTCTTTATTTTTTTTTAAATCTGAGACAAGGTCTCACTCTGTCACCCATGCTGGAATGCAGTGGCACCATTATGGCTCACTGCAACCTCTGCGCCATTTAGGTTCAAGTGACCCTCCCACTTAAGCCCTCTGAGTAGCTGGGACTATAGGTTTGTGCCACCATGTTCAGCAATTTTTTCAAGAAATTTTTTGTGGAAGCAAGGTCTTACTAGATGCACAGGCTGAATTCATTTATTTTCAAGGCTCAAGCCTCTCATCTCAGCTTCCCAAAGTGTTGGGATTATAGGTGTGAGCCACCGTGCCTGGCCTCAGAATCCCAGCATTTTCAAAGCAATCAGGCTCTGATTCCTTTCTTGATATATGGTAGAAATAAGGACTGCTCATACATTCTAAGGGTCAATGGTAGGTTACAAATTACAAAGCAGGCTAAACAAAAAATAGACGAAAAAGTGAAAAGGCAGATCTCCAGCAGTTGTGACACAACATTTAATAGGAACTCCCCAAATGGTGACAATATTTAGAAGGCAGAATTCAAGTTCATGGAGAAACTTTCTACAGGAATTACGGGATAACAAGATAGAGGGGAAACTGACTCTACATGATTAACTTAAGTGAAAAAAGTTAATGGCTGATATGATAAAAATGGTTGCTGGAGTTATAAAAGATTAC